GCACAAGGGATAGATAGACACACCACCACATATCTATACCATACACAAGCACAAGGGATAGATAGACACCCCACCACATATCTATACCATGCACAAGCACAAGGGATAGATAGACACCCCACCACATATCTATACCATGCACAAGCACAAGAGATAGATAGACACACCACCACATATATACACCATGCACAAGGGATAGATAGACACACTACCACATATATACCATGCACAAGCACAAGGGATAGATAGACACACCACCGCATATCTATACCATGCACAAGCACAAGGGATATATAGACACCCCACCACATATCTACACCATGCACAAGCACAAGGGATAGATAGACACACCACCACATATATACACCATGCACAAGGGATAGATAGACACACCACCACATATATATACCATGCACAAGCACAAGGGATAGATAGACACACCACCGCATATCTATACCATGCACAAGCACAAGAGATATATAGACACACCCATCACATATCTTTACCATGCACAAGCACAAGGGATAGATAGACACACCATCACATATATATACCATGCACAAGCACAAGGGATAGATAGACACACCACCACTATCTATACCATGCACAAGCTCAATGCGCGTTCAAGAGAAGAGTCTGTGCCATGACACTCTCAACTCTTCTCAGATGTTGAGTAGCCACGGTGTCTTGCAGCTTATTCTCATTTGCTGTTATGTGAGCATCATGACCAGTTCATGTTCTATTTATACCTCCATATTTCATTGTTATTTCCGTGTTCTATTTATACCACCATACTTCATTGTTATTTCCGTGTTCTATTTACACCACCATACTTCATTGTTGTTTCCGTGTTCTATTTACCCCCACCATACTTCATTGTTATTTCCGTATTCTATTTACACCACCATACTTCATTGTTATTTCCGTGTTCTATTTATACCACCATGTTTTATTGTTATTTCCATGTTCTATTTATACCACCATATTCTATTGTTATTTTCATGTTCTATTTATACCACCATGTTCTTTTGTAATTTCCATGTTCTATTTATACCACCATGTTTTATTTATACCACAGGTTTTGTCACCGAATGCTGCCAGTCACCAAGGTGTGCAAGTCTCAAGTGGAGACTATCAAGCAAGAATGCGTGTCCATACTACAATCACACTTTCACAACGCCAATGAGAGCCATAAGGTGCGTGTGTACGCATGTGCAACGTATGTGTGCGTGTGCAACGTATGTGTGCGTGTGCAGTAGTATAGGCCCATTGCTGAATACGTTGAGTGTTGTGTTGTCTTATGCCACCCAGTTCTCAGTTATGTTCAAGTGCAAGTACAGCGATGCGATGAAGAAGAAGAATATTCAGACCATATCGTATCACGTCATATCAAGTATTAAACATATCATATCATATCAAGTATTAAACATATCATATCATATCATATCCAGTATTGAACATCGGCTGAATACGTTGAGTGTTGTGTTGTGTCTTGTGCCACCCAGTTCTCAGTTATGTTCAAGTGCAAGTACAGCGATGCGATGAAGAAGAAGAATATTCAGACCATATCGTATCACATCATATCAAATATTAAACATATATCATATCATATCAAGTATCAAACATACCATATCATACCATATAAAGTATTGAACATCGGCTGAATACTGTGAGTGTTGTCTTGTCTTGTGCCACCCAGTTCTCAGTTATGTTCAAGTGTAAGTACAACGATGCGATGAAGAAAGAGCGTCTGGCCGTCATCACCGCCGTTGCTGACGTCGTCGACGGGCCGAAGTTCGGGCACACGGTGGACCTGGACAACCCTGAGAAGATCATCTTTGTAGAAATAATAGAGGTATGTGACTGAGTAGGTAGCTGGTAGTACTGTACCGTCGTGCGTGGGATGGTGTAGTATATGTTGTGGAAATAATCGAGGTATAAAGAACCCACAGATGATCTTGTAAATATAGTAGAAGTATGTGACCGAGTAGGTAGCTGGTAATCCTGTACCATCGTGCGTGGGATGGTGTAGTATATGCTGTGGAGATAATCGAGGTATAAGTAACCCACAGATGATCATATTTGTAGAAATAATAGAGGTATGTGACTGAGTAGGTA